TGGTGGAGGGTGGAAGAGGGAGAGGTGGAGGCTGATAATTAAAAAGAAACAGGGGATAAAGATAAGTGTATACATGGAGAGGAAGAATAGGAAGGAAGAGAGGAATAAAAGGTGGAAGAAGAAGGGAGAAGGGGAGTAAAAGAAGAAAAAGAAGAAGAAGAAGAAGAAGAAAAGAGAAGAAGAAGAAGTTTTAATAGTGTTTAAGAATATCCAATTAAGACACGAGCAGTAAGAGTAACTATAACTATATAATTAACTCTAATAGTAAAGATACCAATGATAAAAATAATTGTAAAGCGAAGAACAAAAAGAACAATATGAAAGATATTCAACTGAAGATAACGAAAATAGAAATAACATAGATAATAAAATAACAAATTTAATACGCCTTTCTGTGTTAAAATTCCCTGTATCACCATTGTATATATATAAATAAAAAGGAATAATGATTATGAAAATAATAATGATTATAAAAAAATATACATGAAAATAAAACAACATTTTGATTTTTAATTACCATTCATATCATTATCATTATTATTATCATTAATTATTTAATTATCATTCATTATCAGTGATAAAAATGACAATGATTATAAAAAAACACACACAAATAAAACTAAACATATTGATTTTTAATTATCATTCACTACCTTGTAATGACTTGTACGAACTGTCCATGCAAAATTAGAGTAATTAAATAGGGTCGCAAATTAGAAGTCATTAGGTCTTGAAAGAGCGAGATATACTAATTTGCGTCAAAGAAAGGATAAAAAAAGATTGCTGCCAATAATAATGATTAAAGGAAAATGATAATTATGGTTGAGGATAATAGTTAAAGAAATAGTGATCTGATGATGATCGTAATAATTATGATGATAGTAATAATGATAATGATAAGAATAGGGATAATGATCATAACAATAATAACAACATGAATATTGATAATGATGTCTAGTAATGATTATGATAATAGTAATGATAATGATAAAGATAATGATAATGATAATAATAACTATATTTGGTAATTATGATAACAACAATAACAAAGAGTAAAAGAGTAACGCGAATAATAGTCATAATAGTAATAATGATGATAATAGAGTATCAATAACGATGGTAATGTAATGATAATTATGATAATGATGATATTAATGATAACGTTGGTAATCACAATGGTAAGGGTAATGGTGTCCATCATATGTAATTATTACAGATAAAAGAGAGGGCAGCAATAATTAATAAATGACATGTATACACCAATAATAAAATAATGACTAATAACAATAAAAACAACAACAACAACAAGAACAGCAACAACAACAACAAGAACAGCAACAACAACAAGAAGAACAGCAACAAAAACAACAACTGAAGCAGCGACAATAACAACAATGATCACATGATCAACAATGCAACAACAAGAAGCATGTGACTAAATCGTATTTCCTGCGGCATGAAACATGTACTGACATGTTCAGTGCAGATAAACAAAGCATTTCCGTTATTTTGTTTCTTAATGTTTTTGTTTTATCATTGTACAGTCGGTCTACTACAATTTTTGAATCTAGAGTGAGTTTGTGGCATACATACACGTACACGTGTGTGTGTGTGTGTGTGCATGCGTGTGTGAGTATACATATATTAACACACTATACCTGTACGTGTGCGGCCCCTTGTCTGATGTATCAATTACGCTTTTTCACGCCTGTTTTCGTTT